TATAGTTTTTCTACCCAAAGTATACTGTTGAAAACAAATTAAAATATCTCAAGTGCTATCATTGAGGCTTTATCCATAGGAGATATTAACTATAATACCACTGGTGGCAATTATACATATTTTTGCTCTGTGGTTTGTTAATATTCCTTATTGTATCTTTTGTTTTGTGAACTAAAATAAAATTTTAAGGCTCACTGGACCCCCTCGTGGCCAAAGGAATATTCTAAAACTAAATTGCCTGCCAGGAGGAAGGTCAGACCCGCCTTATCATGCCCCCCTCCCTTCTTGGACACATCCTTTGTAACCCATTAACAGGCCTAAGGGTATTGAGGACTAAACTCTGATCTTTTTCTTTTGCTCAAAATTCCTTCCTAAGGAGACCAGATGAGTCATGCCTACAAACGATAAGATCTCAGTAAACAGGTTTTTCATGACATTGTTTACTTCCCAACCTGATTCTGTTGTAACATCATGTAATAGATAAAAGACCCTCAAACATTCCTTTTGGCTGATTGCTGGTCTTTTGGACAAAACCTGACTCTTTCAGCCAATGGTCAACTAATGAATCCCTAAATCCACCTATGATTTGTAAGCTCCCACTTAGAGATTTGCCGCCTTTTTGGGCCAAACCAATGTATGCCTCCCATGTATTGACTTATGACTTTACCTGTAACCCCTGTCTCTCTGAAATGTATAAAACCAAAACTGTAACCCAGCCACACCGAGTCCACTGCTCAAGACCTCTTGGGCGTGGCTCCGGGTCATGGTCTTCAAATTTGGCTCAGAGTAAATCTCTTTAAAATTATTTTACACAGTTTGGTCTTTTTTCTGTTGACAGTTTTCACAGACAGTATTATCCTAACTAATTAATTATTTGCAGATCCATTGGGTTTAGGGCTAATGTTAGGATTTGCCTCTTACCAGATATGGTACTCTTGTAATATAGTCATATATAAGGAGTTTCAGATGATATGCTTGTATAATAAATAGTTCCTAATTACTCTCTCATGATTTGCTGATGACTTCTTAGTTTTATAGAATGTTGTCAGATAGAATACTTTACTGAGTTAGGGCAGGCAAATTCCTCTGAAAGAATGATGAGTGGAAAGAGAGGTCCTAACTGAATAGAAGTGGTGATATGAAAGAGATCTCCTGATTTATCTTGACTAGCCTTCCGCAAGGGCAGCAGTTAGTAGAGCTTTGCCAAGAGCCTTAGATGAGAATAATAAACAAACTTTTATCTCTTCATCAAATATTTATTGAATGCTTATAATATATTTAGACATTGGATATAGAACATTGTACAAACCAGACAAAAATTCCTGGCTTCATGGATCTTACATTGTCGTTCAACAACACAGACAATAACTTAAAAGTTGATTATGTAGAATGTTTTTTTTCATAAGTATTATGGAGAAAAGAGCAGGAATGAAGGATAGAGAGTGCTATTTTAAATCAGAGTACGGGAATCAGAGAAGACTTTACCAGTAAGGAGATATTTGATCAGAGACCTGAAGGGAGACAAGGCATGAGCCATGCATTTATATGGGGGAAGAACTTTTGTAGCAGACGTAACAAGAGTAAGACTCCTGAAGGCTTGATGTGTTCGGGAAATTTATAAGCGGATAGTATGGAGTGAGCAGTAATAGAAGATGAAGAGCAAGTGGTAAGGAATATCAATAGAAGAGAGGGAAGAAATTGTCAAGGGTGGGAAGTTACAGATCATCTGGCCCTTGAGGTAACTTAATTGAACATTAAGACCTTAATAAAGTATTAGTGGTTAGTGTCCATAGACGACTGTCTTGTTTTAGTTTTGTAGATATTTCTTTTTATTACTGATAGTTGAGACTACTACAAATTTGCAAATTTTAATTGTAGTTTGGATTTCAAGACTGCTTATTAATTGGATTTCTTTTTTTAAGATTCGGTTCTATGAACTAGTGAATCCATTAAGAAAGGAAATCTGTGAACTACAACTGAAAAAGAATGATCTAGCAGAAGAATTAAGCACAAACAAAGACCAACTGAAGCAACTGACAGAGGTTTGTATGGTTTTGATCACAGGTGGGAGGAAGCTCTAACTTTTTCTGTAAGGAGTTCCTCAAGATTCGTGATAAGGAATATAAAAGTCAATGATCGAGAAATGGGACTAGGGATGCTGACTGCCATGATTCTTTGTAAGTAGTGGGAAGGAAATTAAATTGGAAGTAGTCATCTTAAAAATTGACAAGATAATGGCCGGGCGTCATGGCCCACGCCTGCAATTCTAGCACTCTGGGAGGCCGAGGTGGGAGGATCGCTTGAGGTCAGGAGTACAAGATTAGCCTGAGAAAGAGCGAGACCCGGTTTCTACTAAAAGTAGAAAAATGAGCTGGGCTTGGTGACATGCGCTTGTAATCCTAGCTATTCGGGAGGCTGAGGCAGGAGAATCACTTGGGCCCAGGACTTTGAGGTTCCTGTGAGCTAGGCTGACGCCATGGTACTCTAGCCCAGGTGACAGAGTGAGACTCTGTCTCAAAAAAAAAAAAACTGACAAGAGAAGTCTACGATATTGACCTGTAATCCATGGTTGAGCATTTTGTCCTTGTAACTTATTTTTATAATCAACTGTTTTTGAAATCCTTATATGGGCCATATCTGAAAATTGCTGTATAATTACTCAAATGAGGCATATGCACATAAGAATTTATTTAGTAATTTGAGTCCCTATTTCTACATCACTCTGTCAGGAAATTTAGACAAGAAACAAGAAAAGTAGGCCAGGATATGCCGGGGGATCTCTTGCAGGTGCCATAAGTAAGAAGAAAAGGAAAATTACTTTTGGCTTTTAACTAGGATGACTCATAGGTTCTGATTTGCCTATAACAGTCCCCATTATTCCCGATTTGTAAGTATTAATAGCACCCCATTCATTTTTCATAAGTGTACCAATCTAGATGATAAATTATATGGTTATCATACTTATAACTTGTCTATATGGGAGGGTGGACTAATCATTAGCTTGGTTATAGCACTGACCAAATAGCTTAAAATACTCTCATGTAGTTATAGTCTGCTAAGAAAAAAAAATAGTGCTAGATTGATTCATTCTACCATGTAACAGTTAGAAATGGGATAGCTGGTTTTCTTCAAGGATTTCATCAATCTAGAAGGAAAACGCTTAAGGTTATAGTTTACAAATAGAGTCTGCTGCAGTTCTTCATTACAAGTTAGCCTTGTTTGTGATACGAAAAGGAGCTGGAGCTGCTGTCCATTTATCATTCGTTTTGCTTCTTGTGTTGTTCAGAGAGCAGCCAGAGATTTGGGCAGAAATAATCCACAGAATTCAATTTCCCCTCTCTAGCTGTCTCTGAAATTTCTTTCTTTCTCTTTTTTTTTTCTTTCTTTCTTTCTTATTTCTTAATTTCTTAATTTATTTCTTTCTTAATTTCTTTGTCTTTTCTCCCTTCCCTTCCCTTCCTTTCTTCACTCTCTCCCTCCCTCCTTTCCCTTCTTTCCTTCCCTTTCCTTCCTTCTTTCCTTTCCTTTTCCTTTCTTTCCTCTCCTCTCCTCTGCCCTCCCCTCCCCTCCCCTCCCCTCCCTCCCTTCCTTCCTTCCATCCTTCCTTCCTTCTCTTTTCTTTCTTTCTTTCATACAGGGGCTTGCTCTGTTGTCCAGATTGGAGTGCAGAAGCATGATCATAGCTCACTGCAGCCTCCAACCCCTATGCTCAAATGATCCTCCTTCCTCAGCCTCCGGAGTAGCTGAGAGTACAAGCATGCACCACCACCACATCTGGCTATTTTGTTTTTATTTTTTGTAGAGATGGCATTTCACTATGTAGCCAAGGCTGCTCTCAAATTCCTGGCCTCAAATGGTCCTCTTTCCTTGGCCTATAAAAGTGCTAGGATTACAGGCACTAGCCACCATGCCCTACCCAAAATCTGAAATTTTAAAATATTTATTATAGTTTCCAATTTTGCATATTCTATATGTAATTCATAATGGATATAACCTTACATACAAGGTTAAATGCACATGTCCTCCAGGCACTGCCAGGTCCCTGTAGGGAGAGGAACCCCTGGTTGCAGCTTTGAATATGTGTCTGAAATTTCATCACTTTAGAGTAGCTTCAATCGCCCTAAACTCTTTGTTCTGGTTCTCCAAGCATGATAGACTAAGGATTTTCTATCGCACCTTTTCCATCCAACATAGGCCTACCCTCAACTTAATCACCATTAAAACAAAAACAAAAACATGAAAGACCAGGATACTCACCCAAGTGCTAAAAATAGCTACAATAATGACAACTCCATAGTGTTTTAATAACAGAAACTAAGATATTTATTAGCCATGTCTCTGAGTTTTGAGACTGGTGATTAAGAAAACAAACTCTCCATTTTACTCTCAAACTTTCCGTTTTATTTTTCTTGATTGATCTTAAAGTCTTATTTTTTTTCACCACATGGTGGTAGTATATGCCCATCTATTTTTGAAAACCTGTTTTGGGCTATGTAGAAAATCTTGTCATTTTTGACACAAAGACCAAAGCATTACATTAAATTACCTTTTTTTCATTTATACTCATTATTTTATATCAAACACCTATAACCAATTAAATGCTGTTTTTGAGTAAAATTGAGAAGATCTGTAACTAGGAGAAAGAATTACAAAAACTGAAACTTTTCTTCCATAATACGTATTCCTCAGAGCAGAGGTGTCTCAGTTATTACACTGATTTCATAATTAGCCTACCAAACACATTCAGAGATGTTAAAACCACACAATTACACAGTTAATTTAACTCTGTTTTTTTGTATATAATCTGCTAGTTCATGACAGATGAAAGATGAAAACTGTTTTAGAAATTTAATAGAATGTGATTCTTGACCTTTAAAAAGAAATCACTCTTTCTGAAGTGCCAGTTTTAGTGGATTTCTGGGATTTCCTTTCATAATTTTTTCCAGAGCTTTAGTTATTTGGAAATAATATCTAGATACTAACACTGGAAAACAGGATTCATCTTTTACTCCAAATCTGGAGTTTATTTATAAATGTCAGTAGTGTAGTCTAATTATAGCATATTTTGAGCTGTATTATGTATGTAAGCTTGTGTATGTATATTTTATGTTTTTATAAGTGCTTATAGACACTTTTATTTTCTACTTAAGAATTGTCTTTATTAGATCAAAATTTTATGCTGCTAAGCAGTGTGCAGCTGTTTGCTGTTGTAGAGTTAATTCAGCATGCTTTTTTAATTTCAAAAGAATGAAATGTTAGTGATACTATATAAGGCATTAATGAGTCTGTACTTAATAAAGCTGTTAAGTTTCATGAGGAAATGGTGAAATATTTTTCTCTTATGACAACTCTGGTACCTAAGAAGCAAGAACAGTTTTGTTCAAAATAACTTCCTTGTTTAGAAACATAATTACATTTCTTGAAAAAACAAAATTTGCAAGATTATCTGAGCCTTCTTTTAAGAATTCATATGTAAGTAATCCAGTTAATTTTTATTTGTATGAAAATGAGTTATGCAAGTTCTTATATTTCAGAGGGTATTGTTTGTTTTTTAAAATTTCTTGTTATTTTGCCCAACTGATGAGTTAATACAAGATACATATTTATGACAATACCCATCAGTTATAATTATTCTAGAATGTTTAACAAATTCACTAGTAAACAGTAATAGATTTACCTCTTTATATTGAATTTAAAGTGAATAAACACCCCTTAAAATTTAGATTCATGGCCACCTCCATAGGTTCTGATTTTGGTCTGAGATGGAAGTGAGAATCTCAATTTTTAATAAACAACCCAGGATTCTAATGTGGCAGGTTCAAGGACATGAACACAAATCATTTTTTTGAAGTTTTATATTTTGGTTTACTTTATTAATTGAGGTAACAAAAATCTTTGCTTTCTTAGTTAAATTTCATGATTTTAAATTTATATGATGCCAATACTTGTCTTCAACATAAAATTACTGTATTTTAATGTAGTTAACATATCCAAGAATATAATTGGAGTCACACTATCTGTAATGTTACAACTTGGGCTTACCAAAAGCTTCTTGCCTATACCTCTAAACCTTCACAAATTTGTGAATTTTTACAAATAACATAAATGACTTTCAGATAAAAGTACAGGAGGGAAAAAAAGTTCATGAGAAAGCTATAATGAAGGCAGTTTTAAATATGATGTCATCAGGAAGAAGCTTCTTTTAGCTAATTGTTTCATACATGCTGTATGAGGAGATATAACCTTTTAAAGAGTAATATGAATTTTTTCATTTGCTACTATGTTTATAGCCTTTAGTAAACCCAGTAATACTTCAGTTTTTAATTTTAGGGGTGGATTTTGAGGGGTTTGTTGAGTCTTGAGATGAAATTTTGAACCCAGTGACCAAGGTATATCATCACATTATAGCAGGGGAAAACAACTTATGAGGGACCTTGCCAAGTATCTTGGCTTATATCTAGAGATACTATAACCATTTCATTCTCTTGATCTATATAGTGTTTCTCAATACAGATTCCATGGACATATTTAGGGGTATCTAAGAGTTCTTTTTGAATAATTTCAAGTTTGTGATTTAATTTCTTCGATGATCTCAGAAGTTAATAGATGCATATGCTGGCTCATCTGGATGAATCATTTATAATAGAGTACTGTCACTGTGATGTCAGTGCCTATGTCTGCATTTAATTTTGTTGTGGCATTAGCACCACAAAAGATAATTTTAAAAATAGCAGTCAACTTAATATGTGAAATACACATTTCAGCTAAATAAAGGCCAGATGCTATCATGGATCACTGTGTGAATAAAGGTTTCACAGTTCAAACAGAGAAAAATAGTGACAATATTGAGTCATCACACTATTGAGTATAGCCATGCCAAACTCAAAACTACTCCTGCTTGTTTTAACATTTTAAGGTTAAATTATATAGTCAGTATTAGTTATTGAATAGAATAAACCTTGCTGTTTAGGCCTAATTGAAAGAGGAAGAAATAAAGGGCTTCTAGGAGATGACAATGTGAATGCATTTCATTTTTCCTTTC